GAGTCTCTTTTTCTGGTTTGCATATAGGGTTATCGTTACCATCTTTCTAAATTCCATATATATGTGTTAGTATACAGATAAACAATTTTAAAAGATTTAGTTTAAGTTTGTCTCATGTAAAATTACAGACTTATCTTAAAAATTTAACTGGACATCCTGTCTTTTATTAATACCTCGCAACCGTTGCTGAGATTCAAACAGTTCTGTCCATTATTTCTCAGATACGCCTTTACTTTATATATAACACTTCATGTATATTATACTTTTATATATAATACAGCAGAAGATAAGTGATTATGACCATCAGCCGATGCCAAAGCAGTGCTTTGCCCCTCCTATTTCACTTGAAACCCTATCATCCTCACACCACCCCATCCAACAGGTGCAATTACTGTTTCCATATTCTGGATGAGGAAACTAAGTCTCAGTGAGATGCAATAACTTGACCACAGTCCACGGCCAGAAAGTACCAGAGCTCAGATTTGAAATTGTTACTGTCTTGCCTGAGAATAGTCACTTAAGAAACAGCCTTTTCAAAAGTTGAGTTAATACACATGTGGAAAAGTGCTCAATATAGAAACATAAGTTTCAATGACATGTTGCAAACACCTGTGTAGATACCAACCAGGTCCAGGAAGAAAAGATGTCCAGCACTTCAGAAGTCCCATGTGCTCCCTCCCAGTTGCAATGCTCATCCTCCTCCTCAGAGATTCTGTCACTCTGGCCTCCAGCCTCCAGCTGAGTTTGCCTGCCTTCTAACGTGATGTAAGGGAAATCTTTACAGGAACTTCCCCCTGGTGTTTCACTTCTATTGTTCAACAGCGTGCTTGTTGGATTTACCCTGTGGTGGTGTGTATCTGGAATCTGGTCCTTTTCATTGCTGTATAGTGTTTCACCAGCTGATTATACATAGTGAACCCATGCTATTGTTGGTAAACTTATGTTGTTTGAGATTAGTTTAAAATGTGATTTTTTTTTTGTATTGAAGTACAGTCCATTTACAATGCTGCTATTTTCTGATGTATAGCCAAATGTTTCAGTTATACATATATAATATATATTTTTTTTTCATATTTTTTCCATTATAATTTATCACAGGATATTGAACATAGTTCTCCGTGCTGTCCAATAGGACCTTGCTGTTTATCCATTCTATTTATAATAGTTTGCATCTGCTAATCCCAAACTCTCAACCCTTCCCTCCCCACAGCTGCCTTGGCAACTACAAGTCTGTTCTCTATGTCTGTGAGTCTGTTTGTGTTTTGTAGGTATGTTCATTGGTGTAGTTAAAATGTGCTGTTATAAGCAACAAGAATGTCTGCTGTGAACATTCTCATGCACGCCTCTTGGTGGACACAAGCATTCATTTCTGTTGGATATGTACCTAAAAGAGGAAATCCTAGCCAGAAAGGGATGTATATTCAGATTGTGTAGATATACCACACAGTTTTTCAAAATGCTTATACCAATTTACACTCCTGACAGCAGCACATTCAATTTTCAGTTGCTCCACATTCTCACCAGCACTTGGGATTGTCAATTTTTGTAATTTTGGTGTAATGGTATCTCCTTGCAGTTTTAATAGGCATGCCCCTGATTTCTAATTAGGTTGAGCACCTTTTAATGAGTTTATTGGCTCTCTGAACATTTTCTTTTGTGAAGCCTCTGTCCCAGTTTCTTGAGCATTTGATTTGGCTGTCTGTCTTTTACTTATTGATTTGTGGGAAGATTTTTAATAAGTTCTGGATAGGAGCCCATAGTTCTGGGTGTTGGAAATATCTGTTCCCATTCTATGCCTTGACTCACGCACTTAAATGGTGTTTATTAGTGGAGTTCTTATGATTTTAATATATGAAATGTATCAGTATTTTCCTTTTTGAATAGTGCTTCTTAAACAAGATTTCTTAAACAAGAAGTCTTCTCCTACCCCCAAGGTTATAAAGGTTGCTATAGGCTTCTGGAAGCTTTGTTATTTTGCCTTTCACACTTAGATCTACAGCTCAGCTGGCATTTATTTCTGCATATGGTGTGAGGTAGACGGATTGGAAAAGTCAACACTGTGATGATGGCAAATCTCTTCAGATTGATCTGTAGACTCTATGTCATCTCAGTTCAAACCCAGCAAGTATTTGTCACTGTCGTATGAGAGGCCTGATAAACTAATTCTAAAATTGATAGGTAAATTCAAAAGGCCAAGAATATCCAAGATGATATTGCAGAGGTAATGATAAAAGAATGTGTTTTATTGATATCAAGATTATTATAAAGCTATAGTAACTGAGACCATGCAATACTGACATAAACACAACCAAATTGACCAATGGAACCAAATGAAAAGCCCTGAACCGGCCTACACGCATGTGGGGAACATATGTTTTGCGACTCTGGACCCACAGGGCAGTGGGGGAAAGACAGTTCTTTCAATACATTGTGAGGGGTTATCCATATGGGGAAAAACAAACTTGTCTCCAGGGCTCCCACTTTTCAACACTGCACAAGGCCAGGGGACTCTGTTCTTATATGCTTGTATGATGATGGCAGTGACGGTTGTAACATCACTGTTATATATTACAATTTTGCCACTCTTAAAGTGCTTTCCAATCTGTTATTTTCCCCAAACCCCAAGAAGCCGGCAGTAAAGACATTATTAGTCCTTTCATGGATGATGAGGCGGTGACTCCAAGGGACGAGTGACCAACCCAAGGACACTTGCCTAACCCTTGAGCTTTGCCTGCGGCTCCTTCCACTTTGTGAGAAGCCCAATGCTCCTTCCCGAGGGGCATGACAAGGGGCAGGGAGAAGTGGGCTTTGGTGGAGGTGGACTGGAAATGGCTAGAGGTCAGTCACACACTTCTCAGACCCTGCAGTGGGCTCCTTGACCAGGTGGCAGTCCCCGGATCGCTCCCTGAAGGACAGTTGTCCCCGGGAGAGAGCAAGAGGGCTGTGAGTTGTGTTGGGAAGAGGGTGGCCTGGGAAAGGCATGGAGGATCTGTCATTTGTAATCATGCTGGAGACTGGGGTGGGATGGGCGGATGAGCTGGGGTTCTAATTCCAGCTCTGCCATGAATTTGCTGTGTGCCTCTGAACAACTGACCTCACCTTTCTGGGCCTCAGTTTTCTGAGTCTCCATTGTTAAATGAACCATCTTTCCAGTCTTTCATCTTTAAATGAACCAACTCCAAGATGTATCCCTTAAGGTGATTGTAAAGAATTAACAGAAATGGTGCCTACTGCTTAGTAAGGACTCAGCGATTCTCAGCAATCGGTGTTGGTGTTATTCAGATCACTTCTTTCTAATAAAAAGCAGCAGCCGCCATTGATTGAGCATTTACATGTCTTTTTCTCTTGTGAAACTGGGGGCTCAGCCTTAGCAAAGGATTTATGAGTTGCATTTGCCAAGCCCTTCCCCATCTCCTGATACAGAATGGATGATTCTACATGCTTTTACATGTAGGTATAGAAAAAAGACTGGAAGGAACTACATCACGATGTTAAAAATCATCATCTCTGGGTGATAAGAATGGTATTGATTTGCTTTTTTTCTTCTTAATTAGTATTTTCTGAATTACGTACATTAGATGAGAATTAATTTTATAGTTGGGAAAACAATTGCTCTGATATAGCTGAAATGCAGATATGAATTCTTCTTGTTAGTTTAAATGAAGAAGACTCTGCAAAGGCCACTTTAAAGCCTCTCCTTGAGTTCCAAGCTTAAACAGACAATGGTTTTGGAGTCAGAAATTCCAGGGTACCAACCCCCAGCTCTGCTCCTTTCTAGCTGTGCTAAGCTAGCTGAGTCTCTTAACCTCTATTGGCCCCAGTTCTCTCATCTGAAAAATGAAAATGAAACTAGCGGCCTTTGAGGCTTGTTTTCAAGGACTTGATAAGATATGTTTGAAACTACATGGCCATGCTTCTGGCACTTAGGAGGCACTCACTCAGTGGTGACCCTTCCATTAGGAGGGCTCCTTTCCCAGAGTTTCACTGGAGATCCTTTGAAGATGGGCATTACCTACCATCTCACTTTACAGAGGAGGATACAGAGGTTCAGGGTGGAAACTTGTCCAAGGTCACAGAGCTGTGAAGGGAAATTCTGAAGCAGGCTCAGAGAGGGTGAGTGATCAGACAAAGGTCGCACAGCTTAAACTTGCTGCCTGCGTAGTTTGTAAAACAACAAACTAAACACCCTCCCCCACCCCCCAAAACCCCAGAGTGCCCTTTATTGGGGGGTTACCATTACTGAGGCACCGTGGCAAGCCTCCTGAACAAAACCAGCGGCAGCAACAACAAATCCGCTGCCATTTATCAGTGCTTACGCAATGCCAGGGATCTTGGCACTCCCCACAATCATCTCAGTTAATTCTCCAGACAATTCTATGACGTGCGTTTTTCGAGCCCATTTTACGGATGGGGAAACTGAGGCTTAGAGGCNACCCTCCCCCACCCCCCAAAACCCCAGAGTGCCCTTTATTGGGGGGTTACCATTACTGAGGCACCGTGGCAAGCCTCCTGAACAAAACCAGCGGCAGCAACAACAAATCCGCTGCCATTTATCAGTGCTTACGCAATGCCAGGGATCTTGGCACTCCCCACAATCATCTCAGTTAATTCTCCAGACAATTCTATGACGTGCGTTTTTCGAGCCCATTTTACGGATGGGGAAACTGAGGCTTAGAGGCTGAGGCCCTTCCCCAGGGCCCCAGCAGGCCTGGCACCGGGTCCGCCCGGCTCCCCGGCAGGCTGCGGGAGGGCCAGGTGGCATGCAAGGAGTTAAGCGGTAGGCAGTGCTGTGGCTCCGCGCGAGGAGCGCGCCGGGCTGAGGCGTGCTGCTGGCGGCGGCGGCGGCGGCGGCAGCGGCGCTGGGAGCTCGGGCTTCAGAGACGTGAAGTCCGGGGAGCGAGCAAGGCAGGAAGGGAGGCAGCGAGAGAGAGGGAGGCGAGGCGGCCGGAGCCCGCGCCCAGCCGCAGCCCGCGCCCGGCGCGCATGGAGAAATAGCCCCCCGGGCCCGCCGGGAGGAGACTGGGCGGCGAGAAAGAAAATCCAGTCTCCCTTTCCTGGATGCCACTGCAGCAGCTGGCAGCTGGGAAGGCACCCACAGAGCGGGTGCGCCAAGCTGGGACGCCGGAGTCGCAGAGAGAGAGACCCCGGGCGCTGGCTGGGCACCGCTGGCAGAGTTTGCAAGTGACTGAGACCCTCAGGTAAGGGCTAAGGGGCCTGGTCCTGCTAGCAGGGGGGGCCTCAGGGAGAGGGCGCAGAGCTGCTGCAAAGGACAGCTGTCCCCCAGCTGGGCTGCCGACTCCAGATGCTGCCTGGAGCCTGGGGTTCAGTGTCCAGAGCCAGGTGAGTAAAGAACCCCGAGTGGTGACAGCCCGGTTCTGGGTGGATGACAAACTTTCTCTCCTCCCGCAAAGGGGTGGACGTGCCGGCTTATCCCGCGTCCTTCCTCCAGCCATCCCCTGGGGTTCCCAAGGCAGGACGTCCAGGGCTTCTCAGATGACCTGGGCCGGGGGAAAGGCAGTGGGCCCCTTTCATTTGATTCATGAATCACCCCTCTTCTTGGCCAGTTAGAGTTCTGAGGGAAGAGGAGCTGGACGTATTTTCAAGTTGACTTTACAGGGTTCTTGTTGGGGGTGATACTCTGGTAAACGAGATTCCCCATCATCTGGAGAAGCCAGGGCTGCCCGGGTGATGGATTCTGTGTAGAGTGCTTTGCAGTCTTGCTTATGTCTGTTCTGGTGCGTGCGTGCGTGCGTGCGTGCGTGCGTGTGTGTGTGTGTGTGTGTGTGTCTGTAGAGGGAAGCAGGGGGACCCTTCCAGCCAGATCGCCCCTATCCAAGCCCTTCCAGCAGCCCCAAGTGTCATCGCCAGAGCCGAATCACCTCACTGGCAGAGACGCTAGAAACAGTGGGGATTAGCTCCTGTCCCTTGCAGCTCCTTAGATGAGCTAAAGATTTGGGAGAAGTTTCCTGAGCTGCTCAGTGAGACCGTTCAGATTGGAGCCTGGCGAGGTGCAAACTTCAGTAGAAAAGAGGTTGGAATGGACATTTGGATGGGGCCTCTTGGCACTGTCATCCTCAGCTCTGAGGCTATGGGTGGTCTGTCACACCCTAGGCCCCTCGAGGCTCTGCAGAGCCCAGCATGTAGCTCATGAGTTTGGCCAGATCATTTTTTTCCTCTTAAGGAAAAACATGCTCCAAAGAGGCCACCTGGTCTCCAGGGGTCATTTTGGAGCCATCCCTGTTGTCACAGCCCCAAAATGGAGTCTTGCTTCCCTCCCTGGGGTTCCAGCCTAGGGCCGGGGTCATCTCCATGAACTAGTTGGTCTGTGAGGCAGGCAGTGGAGGTGCTTCTGTTCGTGACCTAACGGATGTATTCCTCTGGCCCTGTGGTCAGACCTGGTGTCTGCCTCTAGGGAACGACATTGCTGCATGGTTCCTGGACAGTGCTTGAGATACGAGGTGGGAGTCTGAGAACCTCCTGCCGTTGCTTGGGATTCTGACCTGGGGCCAGGCAGGCTCCGAGCTGTTTCTCTAGGCTGCCAGGACCCGGGGATGCTTCGAGGGTGTCAGAGGCTGGCATTTGATGTCCTGGGGAAACCTCGTCTTCAGGTCAAGAGGTTGAATGTCAAGTTGGCTGTCAATTTGCTGTGTGAGTTTGGGCAAATCACTCAGCCTCTCTGAGCTCCAGTTGCTGCTTCTGTAAAAAGGAAGCGATTTCCTGTATCCTCAGAGGTCCCCGTTCAGACATTCTTATAGCCCTGAGTAATTGTCAGAGATGAAATCCTCCAAATCCCAGGAGGCGGTGTAACATAGTGTGTAAGAGGTCTAGGACTGAGACACATCTGAGTCTGACCAATCACTTCACCCTCTGAACCTCGGTCCCTCCACAGTCAAATGAGGAGCTGATAACGGAGATGGTGCGTGGGAAGTGCTTGGTGTACCTGGTGAGGCTGGAGCTGCCCGAATGCAGCAGCAGGGCTGTCTGTTTTGAGTCTTGTGCATGGGCATCGGGGTGCTGTTGTCCCCGGGGAGGCTGGCCCTGAGCACCAGGTGATTGCTCCTTGGCTGGGGAGCAGGGCCCTTGTTCTCTCAGATCATCTGACACCTGCAGTTCCTCTCCCCGCCCCTCGCTCCTTCCTCATAAAAGCACTTCTGGACCAGCAGCTCCTAGTGGGGAGCCCCAGGCGGTCTGGGAGCACTGGATGCATCCAGCTGCTGCGTCGCCATGACAACAGGAGGTAGAGGTAAGCTGTCTCCATGGCTTCAACTTTGCAGCTGTGGAGGGATCCAGGGCAGAGAAGTTCAGTATGTCTGGGCAGCCTTCCATCTGCTGAGGCTGTCTGATCAGGCAAGAGTGCTGTTCCCTACAGGAACAGCCACGCCGGGAAAGTGTCTTGCATGTGTGTGTGTGTGTGTGTGTGTGCGGGCAGGTGGCTGAGATTGTGGAGGAAGGCCGCCGATTAGTCAGTCTTATTTCTTTCTGAATGGTTCCGAGGCTTGGGATATCTACATCCTTCTCTGTACTAGGTAACCCCTGTGCTCTGCTTAGTCGCTCAGTCCTGTCCCAGCCCCTGGACTGCAGCCCGCCAGGCTTCTGTCCATGGGGATTCTCCAGGCAAGTATACTGGAGTGGGTTGCCATGCCCTCCTCCAGAAGGTCTCCCCAACCTAGGGATCGACCCGTACTGCAGGCGGATTCTTCATTGTCTGAGCCACCGGGAAGCCCTGGGTTCATGCTAAAACCTCCACGGGGAAGACAGACCTCATCTTGGCCAACACGGAGTGAGTTAACAGGCATGCAGTCGGGCCTGGAGTGGGAGCAGCTCCACCGTGTGTTAGCTCTTATCTGCGGGCTCCACTTTCAGGATTCAGAAAACGAACAGTTTGCTTTCCTGGTGGAATAGGATGTGTGTGTCTGTGTAGACACATGTGTGTGAATGTGTGCCTATGTATACATTCTCATGTAGGATGCGTACGTGTGCTCATGTGAGTATGAGTTACATAAAACCCTGAAGTGTGTGTGGGCACATGTGAGACTAGTGTCAGTATGAGTGTGTACTCATGAGACTGCCTGTCCACGGACTTAGGCATATGTGCGTGTGCACGTGCCTGTGTGAGGCAGTGTGAGTGTGGGTATGCATAAGCAATTGTGAGTGTTAAGCAGTGGTGTGTGTGTGATCAGATGCACACGTGTGTCGTGATGGTCTGTGTGCCGATCTCTGTGTTTGAGGAGCTATGCGGGGTGGCCAGGGCACATGTGTGTGTTGCCTGTGTGGGCCTCTGTGGGTGCCTGCGTATGTGTGCAGGTACGCACCTGTGTGCAGTGATACGAGCGTAAACTTACAGTTGTATCTATTACATGTTTTTCAATGAAGCTTTGTGTCTCTGCGCGCTTGTGTGTGTACAGCGCTGCACACGGCTCATCCTTTGTGTGCATTTGCCTGTTTGCTGTGGTCCACCTCCATGTCTCTATGTGTGTGTGTGAGGTTCTGAACGTGTGTGTCTGTGCGTGAGAGAGGGTACATTTGGCTGTGTCTCTGTGGATGTGTGTGTGTCTATGGATGTGTGCCTGTGTGTTTTGCAGTGTAAACTTAGTCGCCTGTGTGTGTACACGTGTGTTTCTGAGCGTGTGCACCTGTGTGAAGCATTGCATGCCTGGTTGTATCTCTGTGTATAGGTATGTGTTTCCTGGTGTTGCTGTTGGGTCTGTTGGTTGCTGTGTCCATTTGAGTGTGTCTCGGTGTGCACGTGAGGTGTTTCTGGATGTTGCAGTGTGACATTTGTGCATGTCTCCTGTGTGTGCGTGAGTTTCCGGATGCGTGTACCGAGGATGGGGCCTTGCATCTTTTTGCGTGTCCCTGGGTGTATGATGTGTGTTTCGTGTGTTTGCCTGTCTGTGGGGCAAAGTAACTTCTGTGTGTGCCGCCTGTGTATGTGTGTGTTTCTGAGCACATGCATCTGCGCGGGTGTGATGAGGTGTTGGCAGGTGGGGGGGCTGTAAACACTGCTGAGAGCGTCCAAACAGAACACATTTCTGAACCTTTAAAAGCTCCTCTTCTGTCTGCTCTGCACGTCTGCGCTGTGCTCGTGTGTGTACCTTCCGAGTGTTGACTCAGCGATCGCTGGTGCCAGCTCTGAGCAGAGTGTTGGGGTGTCGGATTACTTTCAGGATTCAGAAAACGAACAGTTTGCTTTCCTGGTGGAATAGGATGTGTGTGTCTGTGTAGACACATGTGTGTGAATGTGTGCCTATGTATACATTCTCATGTAGGATGCGTACGTGTGCTCATGTGAGTATGAGTTACATAAAACCCTGAAGTGTGTGTGGGCACATGTGAGACTAGTGTCAGTATGAGTGTGTACTCATGAGACTGCCTGTCCACGGACTTAGGCATATGTGCGTGTGCACGTGCCTGTGTGAGGCAGTGTGAGTGTGGGTATGCATAAGCAATTGTGAGTGTTAAGCAGTGGTGTGTGTGTGATCAGATGCACACGTGTGTCGTGATGGTCTGTGTGCCGATCTCTGTGTTTGAGGAGCTATGCGGGGTGGCCAGGGCACATGTGTGTGTTGCCTGTGTGGGCCTCTGTGGGTGCCTGCGTATGTGTGCAGGTACGCACCTGTGTGCAGTGATACGAGCGTAAACTTACAGTTGTATCTATTACATGTTTTTCAATGAAGCTTTGTGTCTCTGCGCGCTTGTGTGTGTACAGCGCTGCACACGGCTCATCCTTTGTGTGCATTTGCCTGTTTGCTGTGGTCCACCTCCATGTCTCTATGTGTGTGTGTGAGGTTCTGAACGTGTGTGTCTGTGCGTGAGAGAGGGTACATTTGGCTGTGTCTCTGTGGATGTGTGTGTGTCTATGGATGTGTGCCTGTGTGTTTTGCAGTGTAAACTTAGTCGCCTGTGTGTGTACACGTGTGTTTCTGAGCGTGTGCACCTGTGTGAAGCATTGCATGCCTGGTTGTATCTCTGTGTATAGGTATGTGTTTCCTGGTGTTGCTGTTGGGTCTGTTGGTTGCTGTGTCCATTTGAGTGTGTCTCGGTGTGCACGTGAGGTGTTTCTGGATGTTGCAGTGTGACATTTGTGCATGTCTCCTGTGTGTGCGTGAGTTTCCGGATGCGTGTACCGAGGATGGGGCCTTGCATCTTTTTGCGTGTCCCTGGGTGTATGATGTGTGTTTCGTGTGTTTGCCTGTCT